GTGTGGAAACGAGTGTAAAGAATTTTGTTGATGTGCTTACAAATTCCACTTACTTTTAAGCATAAACATAAATATTCTTGTAATATTATGGTTAGAAATGTCTGCACAAGGGAACTGTATTAGTATGAATAACTTGAAAACGGCGAATTTTAGGAAAAAAATTCAAGTTACCTTTTTTACGTATTTTGTGGTTTGTTTCATTACGATATCTACAACGGTTTTCCAGAAAAAGCCGATTTTAACTCCTTATGATTCTACTGAAAATTAAAAATTATAAAGAACCTAGAATTCTATTTTCCCTACATGAAACAAGTATATTTTTTATATAGAAATGGTCAAAGATTTCGGTTTTCTAAAAAAGAATTACGAATTTGACAATTAAAAAAAAACACACTGTATGTTGAGATAAGAACGCAGAGTCGCAGCTGGCTGATACTCTTATCGTTTCATAATAATTTTAGATGAATTCAAACCTTATCTTAAGAATATACAGTATTTAGCCTATAAAATATGCCGTTGACCTTCAAATGACCTTGGTGAAATGGCTTGAAGTCACAAAGATAATAAGAACTCAGGAAAAAACTTTGAACAATTTTTCGTGAGCATGGTATGGTCCAAAATGTCTGTGAAGTTATTTTAAAAACTTATTTTATGTACAATAACAGGCTGGGTGTCCCACAAATTCGAATTTAATCAAGTTCAAAAGGTCACAAATTACATTTATCGCACCCATAGGTCATTTTTCAAGGTATATAAACATGCAAAAAACTGTGGGGCGTAGCGCCACAGGGGGGCTTTTTTGCAAACATATCGATATGAACTTTTTTACTTTTACTTAAAATTACTTTCTGTATCATCTGTGTTTGTTTGCCACACCGGAAATGAAACACCCTGTATATTGGAGTTTTGTGTTTTTTGTACATATATGCTTTTATTTCAGAAAAAATATGAAAGATTTTTCTATAACAGATATTTTTACGTGTTGGTTTTGCCTAGGGTGTTGTTAGAACAGCAAAAATACAAGATGTTTCTCAAAAAATATTGCAATAATTTAACAATTTCATTATGTGAGTCATGCAGCTCATATACGGAACATCCATAAATGACTACAAGCCACATCCCCGAGCTTAGACAACCCAACATTGCACGACTGGTACTAATAACAAAAAATCCCTAAATATTGGCGTCACCAATATAATGATACGTTTTCAATGAACAGTAACAAACTGTTACGACTACGCTCGATATAATGCGATTGGTTGAATAAGTTCTCGTGAAAAATTGCACCAATCGCAGGCGGCGAAACAGAATGTTATGTTTTAATGTAATCTTGATCTTATTGTTTTAATAATTTTTCTATCACGCGAGCTCGCTATGGGACCTATAGTGTAGGGGGTTAGGTGCACTGGAAAGTGCTAGATAGTACAACAGCGTGATGTTATTTTCATAGCGCAACGCTGGAGCGTTGCGCTATGAAAATAACATCACGCTGTTGTACTATCTAGCACTTTCCAGTGCACCTAACCCCCTACACTATAGGTCCCATAGCGAGCTCGCGTGATAGAAAATTTTATGTGCAACTCGTTCGGAAAAGTTGCCATAGCGCCACTTGGGCGCTTTCCGCACTCGCTTCGCTCGTGCGTCAACTGCGTCCTCGTGATGCTATTGGCAACTTTTCCCCACTCGTTACACAATGTACTATTAATTTTACCTAAACTGAATTGCCAACATAAAGGAAATAAAATTCCACACAAAATTAGGTACTGGTCACGTGGCTTGTATTCATTTATGAAGACTGTAGTATTCCCCGCGATATTAACAGTTAGGAATCTTGTCTCTGAGGTTAGATATCTTTTGAATAGGTTTTGTATCCAAGAACATTATTTGACTTCATTTAACAGGACTTTTTCAAGAAAAAATTGTTTCAATTTATTTGAATTAGCTTAATATCTTGTTAATAGAGTAAAATGTATAATTTTAAAAATAATAGGCATTCTATTAGCAGAAAACAGAACGTAGTTTATCACAGAAAAATAATCTACTACGTTATATTGAATTTCTACTTTCCATAAGAAACCAAATAGTATATAACTTTCCATTCATCGAGTGCGATTATTGAGTTAAGGAAAATGGAAGATGAAGATAAATTGTGTAAAAAGTATTGTTTGAAAAATATACAGATTCTTTTTTAAACATCTAACCACTAAGTATATACTTACGAAAAATAATGAAATGATATTTATAATAAATACACGGCTAATGTTCATTTTTTTTAGGCGCAATTTTGTGTGGCATTTCTGCACAGCAGTCAGCTGCTCTTTGTAGATTGTGGATATCCAAAGTTTACGCTCTACTTTACCGAATTCCATATTTTTTTATTGCCTCTTTTACGACTTTTACAAAATGTTTACAATAAGAAAGAAGACACTGGATCATTAGATGATGATAGCAAGAATAACAATCTGTCCAATTATGATAAAAATATAGCAAATGGAGATATGCGCGTCATTAAGTCCCAATAGTTATAAATGATTAACGTATTCTGTATAAGTCCTTAATAAAATACCGACCATTAATGGTATTGTTATGAATAACTTTATAAGGCTGAGTTCACAACACAGATAGTGTTTGATTTTGTATCGACTGTTTTCGAAAATTTGTCACAGTGACAAAATCCTTATAATGGGGAAGTTGCACAATTTTTTTTCTTTTCTTATTAAATTCCTTTCATCGTAAAAAGTCAATTGCCACATAAATTTTAAATTTTTAATTAATAGTTTTCCTAAAAAAAATATAGAAATTCAAAATAATTCTCTATGCACTAAAACGCAGTCTTAAACAGAGACGGCTGACTCTTACGTCACGATCCGGTATCGGTCCAAATTAAACTAGTCGTGTAGAGTCGTGTTCTGTAGTCTGTCTCACTTTTACTCATTTGTGTTTACGCAAACTACGTGTGTCAGATAGATTTTTTTATATTATTTACTTTTACTTAACACAATATTGTTAATTATTTTAAAACTGTACGTGTAAATTCTATGGCTACAGAAGCTGGATTTGTCCAAGAGCAATCTGATGATTTGCCAAAAATAGATGTTCTATAAAATATGTTTGCATGATCCTCACATATATGTAAAATAGATTTAACACTAACAACATTTCTTCCTCATTTCCATCCTTTGGTACATTAAATAGTTTGTTGGGGGCAGTTATTGTTGCGGAACTACACATCGGTATTATAATATTTATGTTCAGACACTGTTATGTTTTTCACGTTCTCGTGTTGTAATTCTGATCTTGAAGCCGCAACGCATTAAAGCTGCCTGGGTAGATACTGTGAAAATGTTCGTAGACTCTACGAAAATTAACGAAACTTGTCTTTAAATTTATACACTAAAACTAACTACTCAAAACTACTCAGAATTCAATGCGAACACAAACTAATTCAACACAAGATTAAATGACAGCAATGCAATGACAGCGCCAGTCTCCCGAGTCTTGACAGTCTTAATACTGATATAACGGATCCTGACGTCACAAATTGCTTGACCAATTAGGGACCGTTTTCGCCCTATATTCAATATTTCAATAATTAATCACATTTTAATAGTTAAGTTTAAAGGGGTTTTACATATAGAAACATACTTTTATAGTAATTTTCGGCATTTTAAATAAATTTTGCTTCAAAAGAAAATTTGATGCAACTTCCTCATTATTCGCCCAAATATTTCCTTGTATGAATGAAGAAATATCAGTAATGTTTTTTACCCGGATAATATTTTCCTTTAAACTCATAATACGTTTGTAAATATGGTTCATTATGGAATTTTTTATATTCTCTTATAATAAGCAATTTTTTGTTATTATTTGTAATATTTTCGTTAATAAACAATAAATATCAGAAAAAGAAAATGAGAATGTGATTATTTTTGATACATGGTTTCATGGTTATAATTTTGAATTTGCTTTACTTGCAACTTTATACGGTATTTAAAACCGTGCTACGTTATTGTTTTAAAACATATGTTAGAGATGTTTTAAAATCTTATGAGCTTTGACCTTCATATGCGCAGAAACATAATTCCGACCGTCGCCTAAATTATTCTACGTCCTAAAAACATTACACCTATTATTCACAGTCTCTCTCGAGCTCTAGCGTAAACAAGCCTTTGATCCGATTACAAATATCATAATAAAATGCCCTATTCTTTATTATTTTAATTTAAACAATAAACATATATATAACGAACGTTCGCCAGTTGACTTTATTGATGTCCGGGCGCCTTAGTTCATGTCTACTTGTAATGATGCACATGGTCTAGTTCTGAGTCAATGTTTTCACAACGTGCTTATTAGAAGAATTATGGGGATACGCCACGCCTTTCGCGCATTTCGCGGCTCATGAGATATTAAAAGTTCTCTAACTATCTTTTATTAACAGTCTGTTGTTTCTATAAAAGACAATTTATATTATTTCATTAGTGAAACAATATAAAATAAACATAAACGATACTTAATTAATAGGTAGATGTTTGTTATTAATTCAATTCTTTAGTTCAGTTTGTTTTAAGGAACTAAAAAAAATAAAAGAACATTATGATGTACGTTTTTCGGAAATTTATATAAAATGTGAAATCTATTGTAAAATACCTAGTTACCTAGTTACTCAACGGAATTTGGAAATACAATTAATAAATGCGTTACAAGGTTCTCAGTTCTTACACTACTTTTATTAAAAATCTTAACGAAATGACAAATAAACTTTCAGAAAGTAATTTAAGATTGTAAACAGTAACAGAATGCCAATAATAAAAATTACATACTTACCAATGAAAAACATAAAAAGCTTATTTTTAGATTAATAACATAGATAAAGAATGTGTTGTATCTACCCTATTATTCATTGCGGAGCTCCAGCAAAATAAAAAATATTGCAGAAACAAGATAAGTTTTGTATCTGGCTTTATAGCAGATATGCAATTATCAATCAAACAACAACCTTAAAATTTAATCGTATTTATTTGAATACACCACGTTAAACAAATAAAAAACTTACAATAGTCACAACAATCCTTACTGTGTATGTACAATATTTATAAATTAGTTAAAAATAAATTAAAATTCTCCATCGTTATTCCAATTTACTCGCTTTTACACATCCATTTGGAATAGATGAGGCGTTTTTACTTTTCTTGGTGTAGGCCTTCCGGTAGAAATCAGCGAAGAGGTATAGGAATATAGCAACGTTGCCCGCGAAGAAGAAGGTCACTGATTTGGACAGTTTGCAGCCCATCATTGGAATGGAGAACAGATATACCAGCATTATGCAAAATTGTGTCTGCAAGTAAATGCAATTTCATTATTAGTAAAATAAGTAACTGTGAAAATTGGTGAAAGAAACTAAAACACAAAAGTACAAATAGATAGAAATAAGTTTACGTTTCTGACTCGCGAGATTAAGAAAGTGCATTGATTCAGAAGGAATAAAAGGTAGGTGCAATGATTTGGGATAGCAGCTATCTGTGGAGCTATCTCAGATGCAAACTTATTTGTGTCGATCTGTATGAGTACTAAAGACATTGCAAAATAAAATTTAACCTAATTTCGTGTTAATTTTACAATTTTTGAATTAATGAGGTTTTACGCCAATAACATCAGTCAAAGGATAAGTTTTATAATTATTTGACACCTAGAAAGCAGGTACTGTTCGTGATTTTATTCATGCGTGGAAGGTGCAAAATTTAACAGAGGGGCAACAGTGTAGTAAGTAATGAAAAAAATTATAGTCTATTAAATATTTTTATTTGGGGGTGAAAATTTGCCGAAGGTTAGTGGAGGTCAAGGGAACATACAATATTGAAATATATAGCTAATAAAAATTGGTAAATGGTTCTAATTCGAGGCGCGTTTGTGCATTGGATCAAAAGTCAGGGGAGGTCAGCATTGTCCTGCCTCCACTTGCGGAAGCCCTTGGACTTCATTAAAGAATCCTACGTAAATGAACGCAATCAGTGTCACTTTTCAATGTTCTTCATTTTGATTTTTATATAGGTATAATTTTTCTAATAATTTTTATGAAAACTATTCACTTCTACAAATTTTTTTTTTTAAATCTGGTGTAGTGGAAATTTGTAGTTTCAGTTGTGATCCAAATTTGTATGGTTTAAAATAGAACACATCATATAATGTTCCATTTTCTATTGATATTTGTAGGTATATATTTTCTTTAAAACGATCTTTGTCAGATTTGGTGTACAAAAAATAAAACTAATTTCTTTGCATTTACATTATTTAAACCGTATATTTTCTGAATTCAACTGTTTTGTCAAATAATTTAGTGTGACGTGGATTTAAGAATGTCTTATGCCTGTTTGCACCGCAGTTCGTAATCATTACTTAACAATAAGTCAGTGGCGGCTCGCCAGGTGACGCAAGTGACGCACCGCTTCACCTAAAATTTCCATTTGGTTGTGCAACTTAAAATTATTTTTAATTTTATATAAATTTTATAATTTAGGTATTAATTCTACATTGAAAATGTGTTGTGTTTGTTTGTCTTATACGCAGAAATAAACAGAATATTTGCGCGGTGAACACCTTCTAAAAAAACATTGCCTTCGTTGAACGCGAACATTAACCTCGCACCATACAACGTATAGCATAAGCAAGTGATGCGGATCGAAATCAGTTTGCATTCGGCTTCACTTCGTAGCGTTGTTTACGGCGGTTGTCATGGCAACGGAGGCAACATAAAATAGCCAATAAAGTTCTGTTATCGGAACTACTGTAACAATTTACCGCGGCAGGGGCGTGTCTTGAATTTTCCGCCAATGTCTTTCTACCTTGTGTGTCGAATGCGGTTAATTCCAAGAAAGTGGGGTCTTCTTGGAATTCTATCTCAACAAATATCGTAGGGACTGTACTTAAAACGTATGTGTGTTATCGTGCCCATAGTTTGTACTACTTTTAATTTAAAATAGAAATACAAAAATGGATATTCGAATGAATGACATATTTAAAGATATTTTAGAAATTTATTTATTGTAGATTATGGGTTTCCCACTTCTATACTGAGGACCAATTTAATTTTTACACAAGATTTCGTATTACAAAACAAATTTACCTGCAGATATTATCGTTAATATCAGTTGGAATTGATTATATGCAAAATCAATAATTTTTATTTTTTAAAGTGGTTTTTATTCTTGTATCTTAAGATGGGCCCATTATATGAACTAAAGATAAACGGAAAGTACTGAAGGACCTAACATAAAGTAACAAAAATTACTAGAAGTAATTAGATTTCTTCGCTGTTGCCGGTATAAAGATGTACTTTACTAAGTACGGTTTATAATTTTTGGGGCAATACCTTAACAAATTAAGTATAACTTAACTTCAAAAACGGTCAGATTTTAGTACCGTCTCAGTAATTGAAATTTGCAAAATACGTACAGTTTCGTGTTCAAGTATTTGTGATATACAGGGTGATTCAGGTTTAATCTAGATAATTTCAGGGATCAATAGAACAGATTAAAATAATGTTCATTCATGATATAATAAACAAGTTTCAAAATTAATGAGACAAAAGTGGTATACAGCTGTTTAATTGAAATTAATTAATTTTTTGAAGTTCTGAAATAATGTAGGAGGGGAGTGGTACACAAAATACACTTCTAAGAGTGGTAGGTGGTTCAAAGTTAAGAAGCTTATGTAAGATCATAAGGAGTGTTTGTGTTCTGAATTTCACCTGGGATAAGTGGTTTAAAAGTTATGAGGGAAAAGTGGGATAAATTTTTTTATTTCAACGCCCTCTATCTCCGCAACGATGCGTTTTAGGAAATAAGTTTACATCATGAATGAACATTAGTTTAACCTGTTCTATTGATCCCTTAAGTTATCCAGATTAAACCTGAATCACTATGTACAGTCTTTAAATACATTGTAATAGATTTAATCGAATCATTGACTAGGTATAACAACTTATAGAATAAATGGTTTTTGGATAAAACTGTAATGTTACAGCAATACTTATTATTCAAAATTATATTCATTATAATTATAAAAATATGAAATGTAATTATACATATAAGAAAAAAAATTGGCTTCTCGATGCTACTTAATAGCAAAAACCGCTGTTCTCTATATCTACTTTTTCGTCAAGTTTTTTGTGCTATTGCCGAATATTTCCTTGAATATATTAAACTAGTAGCGTCGCGTCGTGCCAATTGATTCAAATATACAATAAATTTACGTAGGTATTTATTTTGGTTTAAAAAAAAATGAATATTGTTATTAGTATGATAATGATCTAAGTGTGTGTTATGGGTGTAGGTGTGCGTCTTACCGTCGGTCAAGTAAATCGTGTTCTAACAATAAGATTTGTGTTAAGTGTGTGACAGAAACTAGATAAAATGATGGATTTCATGCACCACCAAATAAGAAAGGTCAGTGAGATTATTTATTTTTTCAGGGATAAAATAACAACAAATTGTTTCTTATAGTGAATAGAAATAATAACACGATGTTAATAGAATAAGTATTTTTTGTCCCATTTTATAATTGATATTTGTGTAAATGAGTATATATTTCGGAGTCTTTCTTCTTAGCAGAGAAGAAATAATTGAGAAACTAATGACGCCTCGTCAGATTTATCTCAAAGAGAAAGTTTGTGAGTCGGTACAACAAAATTTCTATTTTCGGCCACCTTTTAAATGTGGTCACCTTCAAAACCGTCCCGTTCTCAAATTCTCAAAACAGTTATACTTATTAATGCCCTATTTAACAGCGAGACCCTTTTAAAAGGTCATGATTATTTCCACGAAAGTTTTCCTGGAAATATATCTGCAATTTTATCTCAATACCTACCAGTCTCACTATTTTGATGAAATATATTCTTTCGCCCTCTAGAGTTTTATAAATGAAATCATCTATGAAAGGGCATTTCTGAGAAACAGATTTGAAACTTGCGAAAAATAAAAATGAGTTTTACAGCCTGAAATGTACGGTTAAAAAAATTTGATCAAATATATTTTAAAACAGTTTGCTGATGTTGACATTGACAATGTTTAATCCTGGAAAACAAAGCTACAAATAATATTGGACTACTATTTACCACAAAATGTGTACAATGCTGAGGAAATCGTAATTTAACCTTGGAATGACCATTTGCTCTAAAAAGAGATAAATAAATATGTAGGTAAAAAACTACGACCCAAAAATTAACAGTTTTATTTCGCACAAATATGAAAGGTGACAAAATAAAGCCGTTAATCATATGGAAGTGTAAATTCTTGATGCTTTAAATGATTTTATATCAACAATTTGTTTTTCGAATAGGTATATGATAGAGACTATGACTTCATGGTTAAAAGACGAAATAAAATAGATGCCATATTATTTTTGGATGTTACGTCGCATTTCAAAGTTACTCTGGAAAATGTGAACATAGTTTTTCTGCCTCCAAACATCACATCCCGTTGTCAGCCATAACACCGTAGTTCTTTTAAAGATAAATGAAGAAAAATTTGTTTTATTATCGTTCAGTTCGGATATCGGCAGGCTGGAAAAATGTCCTATTAACCACAACTAACTGAATATGAAATTGAACTGGTTAAGTTTTTTTCTGTAATACATGATGTCATATTATGTATCTTTTAAATGCAATGTTTTGATAAAAAATTTCAAGTTTAGTGTTCAAGGAAAAATTAGTGAAATAATTAATTATAGCGGCTGTTATAGTTAACATTAACGATATGGGTGAAGTATGTGAAAAACTGAATTATGTACAAAGTATCCTGTTTTATAATGATAAAAGTGAATTAGCTGTAGAAATTGTTCAAATTTTAATTGAAAAATATTAAAAAAATGTAATTATGTAATATGTCAAGTAATATTTAAAATATTTTTGGCTTCTATTGTATAACCTATTTTTTTTATATACCTACGTAAACTTTCATATCTAATTTTTATATACTACAACGTGTCCCAAAAGTATGGAAACAGCACAATAACTTTCGAAAAATGCAATTTGAGGAAAAATGATTCAGACAAAAGATTTAGGATTTTTCCCTGGCTATTCAATGGTGACCCTAGATTTGACCTTGACCTTGACCTTCAAGGGTATTTCAAGGTCAAGGTAATTTTTTCAAAAGGGTTGCCCTACTTTTGACCCCGGAAATTAAAAGAGCGGAAAATTTTACGTTCAGATATGTCTGACCATTTTCCAAGATGGCGGACGCGATTCCAAAACATTAACCGATTTACGCCAAATTTGGTATAGGGGGGGTTTTGGGGTCGCTGACTACGAATCTGAAATCTGTTTTTGAGGAATTTTAATCCAAGATGGCGGACGCGGTTCCAAAAAATTAACCGATTTACGCCAAATTTGGTTAGGGGGTTTTTTGGGATGGCTGACTACGAATCTGAAATCTGTTTTTGAGGAATTTTAGTCCAAGATGGCGGACGCGATTTCAAAAATCAACCGATTTTTGCCAAAATTGATATAGTGCGGTTGTTGAAGATGAAGGTCACGGTCAAATCAAGGGTCACCGTCAGATAGCCAGGGAAAAATCCTACAACGTTAGTTATGGTCATTTATTTGCAATCCGTTGTTTTTAAGACAGCGCGCCAAACCATGCGTGACCTTGATTTGACCTTTAATGACCATCAGACGTCAAATTCAGAAAATGGTCACGGACATATCTGAACGTAACATTTTCCGCTCTTTTCATTTCCGGGGTCCAAAGTAGGGCATCCCACTTGAAAACATTAACTTGACCTTGAAATAACCTTGAAGGTCAAGGTCAAGGTCAAACCTAGTGTCACCATTGAATAGCCAGGGAAAAATCCTCAATCTTTTGTCTGCATCATTTTTCCTCAAAATGCATTTTTCGAAAGTTATTGTGCTGTTTCCATATTTTTGGGACACATTGTATACGTAACTTCTGATATAGTTTATAATTTGATATTTCATGTTACATATTCAATTTAATAAATAAAGCAGAAAAATAATATACTTAGGTAAAACATTATTAGTTTCTGTCAGAATTTGACAATAAAACACACAAATAGTATATTGTGCAATAAGTGCGGTAAATTGTCTATTGCCCACGAGAGCGGAGTTGAGTGCACTCACTTCGTTCGTGCACTCATCCGCTCAAGAGGGCAATACGAGGGTGGTCTGAAAAGTTTCCGACCTAACAAGGATACAAGACATTTTCCTTGTAACAATACACGCTTCTCCCAGCGATGCTCCCATCTCTGTAACCCGTCCAAATAGTACTCGGCGTTTTTCTCTGCAAAATAGTTGTTCACGAAGGTGATTGCCTCTTCATTTGACGAAAATCTCTGGCCTCCGAGCGCAATTTTTAGATGAGGGAACAAAAAGAAGTCGCTTGGGGCTGGATCTGGTGAGTAAGGCGGATGGTCAAGCAGTTCAAACCGTAATTCGTGGATTTTCGCCATGGCAACCGCTGAGGTGTGAGACGGTGCGTTGTCTTGGTGAAACAGGATTTTCTTTTTCTGCAAATGTGGCCGTTTTTCCGCAAGTTCTGCCTTCAGCTTGTCAAGTAATGATGCGTAGTATGCTCCTGTAATGGTTTTTCCTTTTTGAAGATAATCGATTAAAATAACTCCATGACTATCCCAAAAAACAGTCGCCATCACTTTCCCAGCCGAAAAAACAGTTTTTGCTTTTTTTGGAGCCGGTTCCCCCTTTGCAGTCCACTGTTTGGACTGTATTTTTGTTTCGGGCGTATAATGGTGTATCCAAGTTTCATCTACAGTAATTAATCGGCGCCAAAACTCGGATTTATTGCGCCTAAACTGCGCCAACAGAGCGTTGGAAATGTTCATTCGAACACGTTTTTGGTCTAACGTGAGCAAACGCGGCACCCAACGCGCGGACAGCTTTCTCATGTTTAAATGTTGATTTAATATGTGACAAACACGTTCTTTTGACATGTTCATAACCTCTGCTATCTCTCTCACTTTAATTCGGCGGTCGTCTAGCACCATTTGGTGAACTTTGGCGATGTTTTCGTCGGTAGTTGCAGTTTTTGGACGTCCCGAACGTTCATCGTCTCCCAAGCTCTTACGGCCACGTTTAAATTCAGCTGCCCAAAATTTCACTGTGGTAAATGATGGTGCAGAGTCCCCATACACAGAATCCAACTCATCTTTGATTTGCGTAGGCGTATTGCCTTTCAAAAACAAATATTTAATGACAGCTCGATACTCGATTTTGTCCATTTTCATAAAAACACTCACATCAACTCACTCAAACGACTGTTATATAACAACTGCGCGTCCAAAATGGCTGAAACTTTGGTGAGTAACTGTCAACAGATGAACAACGAAATTCACTAGCTTTTATTTACGAGTGCTGCCATCTTCATGTTGAGATAGGAAACTTTTCAGACCACCCTCGTAGACAACCGCACGAATTGCACATACTATTTTTTATTACGAATGCAAAGAAATCTTACAAGGGCAAAGCCCCGGTGGGGTCCAAAAATTTTTATTCTGTTTAAGTTGACATAAATAACTGTCATTTAAATGTAGAAATAGAGTGGGCAAACAGCTAGTACCGATCAAAAAAACATGCGAAAAGAAGAAGAAGACTTATCCGTCATGAGTAATAAAAATTTAAATACACAATACTATTTTTAAAAAGTGACATTTAAACGACAGTTATATATGTCAATCTAAACTGAATAAAAATCTGGGGATCCCATCGGAGCTTACCACTGCACTTATTGCACAATATACTAATATTACAGGCACACAGAAAAAAAATCATGAACCTGAGGGTAGACCCTACTATTCTTAGATTTTTGGGGTCGTTGAAACCGAATATGACCATAAAAAACGATTTCAATTGCCCGTTTTCCCGCTAGCACCCCCTTATCACCCCCTGACGGGGGTTAAATTTTAAATTTTCGTACATAATTAAGATGTATGCGTATTTTTATATTTTTTTGGGACGCTGAAACCGAAAATGACTATAAAAAATTATATCCACTTACTTACTCGATTACCCCCTTACACTCCCTTACAATCATTTGATAGAACCAGCAGGATCCATATGAAGGTTGACTCTTGGTAAATTGCGCTAACGTTTTCGGAAAAAAGAGGAGAACCGAAGTTTTCATGGGCTCAACGCTCAAAATTCCAACAATGCAAAGTTCATTACCGGTTAATTAGACAAGTTTTAGAGTACCTCCAATACTTCACCGATCAGAAGTATCAGCTCTTAGATGTATTTATGATTTGGTTCTACTCTTAGAGCAATCCAGGAAAACGGCGTGGAGGTGGTAGGTTTCTGTTCCGTTTGGGGTGCTTGATTAACGTGAGTCCCCTTGCCTCTCACGAATCATGATGCTTGATTAACGTGAGTCCCCTTGCCTCTCACGATTCGGCATTTACCTCTTTCTATGATATCGAACTCTCTTGCTTAAAATATCTTGTGTAGAATAAGGTGTCAAATTCAAAATATCAAAAGGCAAAATAAACGGTTATGATTAGGACATAAATCATTATTCGGTTTTAGCGTCCCAAAAAAAATAAGTGCTAGTGGGAAAACAGGCAATTGAAATCATTTTTTATGGTTATATTCGATTTTAATGACCCCAAAAACCTAAGAGTAGTGGGGTCTACCCTCTGATTCATGATTTCTTTTTGTGTGTGTGCCTGTGTATTTAACAACGTGAATTTATTCGAAATTATATTTTTAGTGCGTCATTAATAAGGAAATGCTTAGTTTACTGAACTAAAAGATCATTTGTAACAAATAGATAAGAATTGTTCAAAGTAACGTTTACTTGAAAATGGAAGAAAATCAAATACAATGCTATGTAACACATACCAGTTGAATCCATGTCATATATTTCTTCCACCAAAGGTATTTCTGATATTGGGGACCCAGTGCTGCTATCAAATAGTAAGAGTACATGATAACATGCACAAATGAGTTTAGGAAACCTATGAAGAGACCCTGTTCATCTGAAAATAGAAATATATTACATTTATCACAGGTCTGAAGAGAAATTCTGCAAGAAAAGATTATTTCAAATTTTATTTGTTTTAAGATACATTTCAAGAAGATTTTTAGCGATCATTTGGTGCATACAACTTATCTATGAATAATAAAGAAAGGAAGTTAGTTGATTTAATGTATAAAATACATTATATGTTACGTACATGCAAATACAGGATTAAAATTTACTTGGATATTATGAATTACGCAAAATTGTTCATTCAAATGTAAATTCAAGATTACAATTGATTCGCATAATATATCGAATTGTTCTTCAACTTTGTAAACGCATTTGCAGTTATATAAAAGTTAATATATTCCATGTTTTTCAAATATTTCATTTCACCTTTACACTATTTCGTAATTAATTTTATTTGCTGTTTTACTTAACATATAATCAAGTGTAACATTTATTAAACTGCATTGATGAGACATAAATTGACAGAAAACTTGATTATTTATTTAGGTAATTGTACACCCAATTTAAATATCTTCTTTTTTTTAGTAGGCACGTTATTCATTATTATTAACTTTTGTATTTTCGATGACATGCTAGGATATCTCTGTTATTATTAAAGATCGAAATTTGCGATTTTTGGGACCGATGGCCACTTTTTTGAGACAAATCTTCATGTTATAATTTATTTTCGATATGATTTAAAGTTTTGGTCAAAAAATCAAAATATTTATATTTTGGGTGACTGCTGCAGTGGTTACAATTTGATTTTTTCTAAAGCGGTGACATTTTAATTTATACGTTGTTTGTGAAGAATTCAGTGACGTACATATTTTTTTATACTTAACTAACTGTTTTCGACATACAATGAAGTTACCTTTGTTTAATCGGAAGTCATATTTGTCCATTGACGTATGAAGTATGACTTGTATCTCATAAGGTGTAATACACTATTTAATTAATGATATTGAAAACCTAGTGGTTTTCAACCAACGTAGTCTTTGTGGACACAATCTTGTCCAATATTAAATTTCACCCACAATATCTAGGAAATAGTTAAAAGTATTCAGACTTCCCCAGGTAGACTAATTTGGAATTTATTAGTTCCCATCCGTAAGCTATACGCTGATTTAGCTCACGAATGATCTTAACCCTAAGGGTTATATTGTGGGGTAATATCATCAGTAAAAATGTTTCTATTTATTCCATCGACAATATAAATCTGCTATATAGGCTGTTACAAATGCGCTTCTCTCTATAGGGATCTTGGAAACGGTAAGAGATACGAAGTAGCTTAAATGGGGGCAAAGTTGCGTAATCAGGGGACCAACATTATGCCTCTAAAAAATCAAGGCTAACACGATAAGTTTTCGAAATATTTGAAAAAACCGAAATTTTGGAAATCCGTTTTTGTTTCATTTCAGCCTTTTTTGAGGTGATATTTAAATAAGAAGAACACTTTCTCATGGCCACTTTTTGCCCTGGATTTCACAGGGTCTAACGATAGATACAGTGTACAATAATTCACTAAACAAAGAAATCTAAATAAAAAGTTTAGATAAATTTGGAACGAATACACTGAAGATGATTTTTTCGAGACAAAACGTGTGGTTCGGGCTGAGGCAGTACAATTTTGGGCGTCATGAAGACTTGCAAAAAATATAATAAAATTTCTAGAAAGACGAAACGTTACATATAAAAATTGATTATGCCATTCGATAGAGGGCAAAAAGTGGCCATGAGAAAGTGTTCTTCTTTTTTCAATATCACCTCCGGATTTCCAAAATTTCGCTCTTTTTCAAATATTTCGAAAACTAATCATGTTAACCTTGTTTTAGAGGCATAATGTTGGTCCCCTGATTGCGCAACTTTGCCCCCATTTAAGCTACTTCGTACCTCTTACCGTTTCCAAGAAGCGAATTTGTAACAGCCTGTATATGTATATACAAAGATGACAGCAGATTATGTCTCGTCTGTTTAGAAAAATAAGAAATGACAGTAGGTCATGTTTTACTTTTTGAGATAAAATATTCTCTTTTTAACTACGGTTTCCATTAACATAATGTGAATGAACGAATTGTAAGCCGAATATTGTAAGAGTTGTTTTGCCAATAAAACACCCTATATACAGTACGCGCGAAATAAGTATTTATTAAATTAACAATTCAAATATATTTCTTATTTTTAAAAATGCAAAATTAAATACGTGTTGACAATATGTAAGTTCATTAAGAAAGCTCGTTAATGGATATTTTAGAAGATGGCATGAAAACGACATTCTGTTAAAAAAAATTGTTGATGTCGTTGTAGCTCCGGATCATCAAGTATACCTAATGGTATTATGCAAGAATTTGCAACTGAACTCCTTTGACCACATTTCAAATCTGACAGAATTAAATTATTTAGATTTTTTCACAGAGTAATGTAAGGTTATTTGTTTGTGAAATATTCCAATATTACCTGATAAGAATTTGAGGTAAATCCAAGTAAATAACATCATGATTCCGTGATGGTACACGTGAAGGAATGTGACTTGTGACTGTTTTTTCCTCAGCACAAAAAATACTGTATCCAATAGTTCAACTATTTTCGAAATGAAGTACCACCACACGCACGACGCCATCTGAAAAATAAATTAAGTTAAAATGTAGCAAAAAGTATGTATTTGCTTTTAGTATTTTTGGTTAAAACGATCCAGTGCGTAGGGAAAGAAAGTAAATTATATTTGTCACAGCGCTTCTACACTGTATTTACCAGATTTCTCAATCCACTTTCTAAAATGTGCTGTTGTTAAATAAGAAATAGCGAAACTTTTAGCAGTTGAGATTTCTAAGTGAATTTAAATAAATCTTGACATTCATTCATGCATGCATGTTTGATAACACAGGCACAGAAAAAAGTGCAAACCTAAGAGACCCACATATCATTTCCAAACAAATTAGATGCGCTAAAGATGATCCTGGTGTCAAAATTTATGATTTCCCGATAAATTTCGGAGAAAAGTGAAATTTTTGGGTGAAAACTGGCCCAGATATGGGTCAAACCTGATTTTTTTCTTGAATTTTGTTCAAATATATCATTTTCGTGGTATTTTAAGGCGCAGAATATCACGCCATTAGTAAAATTTACCCATAATCTCGATATTTCTCAGAAAATCCACTACTTGGGTGAAAACTAGCCCAAACTGGTGAAAACTGATTGTTTCCTAAATTTTGTCCTAATATTATATCATTTTGCTTGTTTTACATATCTGAAAATGAAAAAAGTAATGACTTTTTTAATTTTCAGGTATGCAAAAAGCATTAATTTTGGATTTTCTGAGAAATATCGACGTTAGTGGTAAATTTCGCTAATGATATCGTATTCAGCGCTTCAAAATCCTATGAAAATAACATTACATTTTTGGATAAAATTTAGGAAAAAATCAGTTTTGACCCATATTTGCGCCAGTTTTCACCCAAATAGTGGATTTTATTAGAAATATGGAGGCCATTGGTAAATTTTGTTAATGGCATCGTGTTCAGCGTCCCAAAATATTGAGAAAATGATAAAATTCGACAAAATTTAGAAAAAAATCAGTTTTGTCCCATATTTGTGCCAATTTTCTCCGAAATTCATCGAGATGCTATGACTTTTGACTACGTGTTCAGCACATCGAATTCCTTCGGAAATGTTAATGTGGGTCTCTTGGGTCTGGTCTTTTTTTTTGAGTGCCTGATTTGTAATTTTTAATCATGAATGGAAAAGGTAAGTGCTAAGTATATAAATATTTATCCAATATATTAGTAATAATTAATTACAAATAAGGGATTATGACACAATATGCGAATTAATTATGACAAGAAGTATATCTAGTACGTCATTTTGTAACTTAACATCCTGCCCTAGAAAAATAAGTCTATAATTTTGAAAAATGAGCGAATACAAAATATGCAGCATTCATAGGAACATTTTCTGTACTGTACTAAATATATTCAATGTGGTAAATTTTTATCAAGAGGTAACAAAAACAACATAATTATTGTTCTCTATGCAAAATTTGTAAACACAAAGTATAGACATAATATAGGAAATAGATAAAATAAGTCTAACAGCTACAAACAATTTTACTTCAGTCCTTTGGTACCTATCTACATACATCTATAAATGTATATACATCACTACTTACAAATGTATTAACTTCTCCATTGGTTGATTCACCCCTGCAGGACTGTCCGAAAAGCTGGAATATCACCGATTTGAAGTAAAATACTTGTCCACACAGCCATAAACTAAATAAAACTTGATACGCATTGTAAGCTATGATAACACCCTTCAAATTGAATGCCGGCCTGTTTGCCATCAACTGTGGCCCTAATTTTAGAACGAAATATAAATACGCGACTAGAATCGATATCACTGGTACTGGGGACTTCATGAAGAGCCAGGAATCCATTATTGGATCTGAAACATATAAAAAAAATTGTTACAAATATCGTAGAACTCTTGTACATTATAAAAAAATTGTTAAATTGTTGCAAACGTGGTCTCGATCGTGGTCCAACCCAGTGTATCCAGTATAGTATAATAGGAATTTAAAACCCCCAAACCGAAAGGAAAAGTAAAAATTTAGGATTAGTTCGTGTGTGACTCTAACGTCCAGAAAACTGCTCTAGAAAGGGGTTTTCGATATTTTACATCAATTTGAGTGATTGGACAAATATTTGAATTCATGTCAAAGTGCTACTGAATACACTGCGTTGGTCTATCAGCCCAACTTACAAGTAAAGAAGTGTGTTGTATATTACATCTTCACAAGAGGTAAATGAAAATATTTTTGTTTTTAAAATAAAAAATCGGATTTGAAAAGTTGACACATTATAAATGTTCGCATATATTTGAACATTGAAATGATATACAAGTAAATACACAAACTTATTACAATAGTCTGTATTTCTCTCCAGGAAACATACTGAATTCAATTTAAAGTTAACTGAACACAGTGCTCGTTCCAGTTGAGGCACTTGTCAAATGTAACATTAAATTTTGTGTTGGATTCATTTAAGGCCTAAGGGTTGCAATATTTGCATTCATTATTGTTATATATGCAAGAATAATGCATCTAGCATGGTTTGAATGCTTTTAGTTAGAATCATAGCGATGATTTCTTGTCCGTTTATTTGTCGGGTTTTTTATGTCTTCTATCTGTGATAAGAGCGCCGTGCTGAATTGGTCTAACACTTTTGTTCTTTGTATACAAAAGAAAGCAGATTGTTATTGTGGGCAAATAAAGTAATAGTAAAATATTCCGACTTGTTTCCTTGATTTACCCGAAAATCTTACAATTATGAAATCACAAAATACTTTTTCTGTGTTTAAATAAATATTGTCCAGATATTTTAGAAAATTTATTATTGACCTGCAATTTTGAATGTTCAAACAAATAGTTTAGATATAGGAATCTCATGTGGTCCTAATCGACAAAGAGCCGGATAGGAAAATTTTCCTAATCATTTTAGGCACCGTAAGAGTCTATGACTTAAATACTACAACCTAAAAGAAAACATTTGAGGACTATGCCGTTAATTCTCCGTGGCACATGGGCTGTCAACGGAAAATCAAACTTTCCAACTTTGGACCGGGTAAATTAATTAAATATAAATTGACGGCATTTCGACCCAAGACAGATATTAGAAAAATAAGACTTAAAAACCTTACGCCGTACAAAAATAACTGTTCTGGAAAGAATAAAAAATTTTCATTTTCCAAATATTTTCACAAATGTAAAAATTATGTGGCGTTTCTCATTTTAATTAAAGATATTTATTTGAAAGTTATATTTTACTACGCCGTACGAATGCACTAGCTCTAAGAGCTTTTACCCTGACGCAAATTTTCTCAATTCAACCCCCATTCTAAAAAATTATTGAGAAATGTACGGCACCGATTTCAGAGTTTTATTTATGCTCTAAAATAATGAAAAATATAAGTGCCGTAAAAGTATTTGGTTAAAAAAAAATTATTACATAATTGTGAGTGCTCTGAAGTTAACGCCATTTTTCTTGGGTAAAAATCATTATTTTCTGAATGGCATAGAGTTATTCCACTTTATAGTCTTTATACAAAAGTGCCGTACAAAATTATTGGCACCAGAAAAAAACAATTGGCCGTGAATAAAAAAAATTGTTTATCATTTTTGCAATTTGGAAGATCCATTTGACAGCTACTATAGAACTATATATTTTCAATGTTATTACTGTTTTAAATTATTCTAGGGTTAATATTAACAAAATTGTGGATGCCGTCTATTTTTAATTTCAGGTTTTCCATAATTAGTAGGATTTTCCAAGGCATTTTCACTACATTATGAAATTATATGTTCTCGTACGGCATTTACCCAATAACATTAACACTATCAAATGATAATAAAAAATTACATTGCCGTACATTTTTTATGGAACATCTATCGAATGTTATAAAAAATATTTAAATAATTTAAAATCTCAATTTTACTATACTCAATAATTATCAATTCCTGTATGGCTTCATTGCAGATTATGAAGGGAGTTAAGTAATGATGAAAAATTATATTGCCGTTACATTTGCATGGAACATACAGATAATATACGCATAAATTGTATAAACAATAAAATGAAGAGAGATAGTGTTTCATAAATTCCATGTAGGTAGACCAATAAAAATGTAAAACCAAATTATGTGTTTTAGAATTTATCTTTTTCAATTAAAAAAAAATTAAATTGATATTTGATAGAAGTTTTAATAACGTTTATATTTTACTTTTTCTACAACAAAAAAATTATTTTTAGGAAACTTTTTTATAAAATAGACTACTAAAATAATGAAATGAAAAGTTAACTAAATCTTGTTGATCTTAATGACATTTGTTGATCTCTTTTTATTTATTTTTGTTGATCTTGTATATTAGATTTTAAATCTTTAAGTTTATTATTTATTGGATCACTCCGTAAATTGTAAATAAAACATACTTTTGACGGTGTTTTAATTTTACCAGCACTCGAATTTTCGAGTTTTCCTCGGTTTCAGACATAGTAATAATATTAATGGCGTGCGTAACAATACAAAACTGAATACTAAATTGATTATTAAAAAAAAAAACATATGGATCCGGACGTGCGTATAATACTACACCGTACTACAGGTAGTAAAAGTTGGTGTTTTGAAATGTTGGAGACTAATGCTGTGAGCCTCAGTGGCAAATTCAATTTTAAGTATTACTTTAGAGCCTTTACAGAATGCACCATTTTCATGTTTGATTAATAATTTTGTTTTAAATAAATTATTTTTCAGAGAAAATTATGATAAAAATTATAATTGATTTTACGATTTTATATTATTCTACATCAAACAATTTTATTTTATTTGTTGTATTGGATTCAAACTATATACGGCACAATTAAAAAATAAAAAATAAATTTTGGCAAAATAAACAAATTGAATTGTAGATGTGCGTACACATATTAAATACTTCTGCATGAAAAAAAAATGCAGTTATATGCATACATTTTTTTGGAACTTTGGGGTCTTGTTTTAATAGTTAAATTTTAATGAATTCGAAAAGTTCAACAGGAACTTTTCACTAAAATATCGACCCCTTGAGCGGAAAATTCATTTCCCTATTGTGACCTCATGTGCCATAAAAAATGTACGGCATAATGATTTGAGGTATAGCTTTATATAGCGCTTTCTAATTTTTTTAATTTTAGGGTGCCTCTAATAATTTTCCTTATTCTACGTAAAAGGTAAGGGTTGAGCAAGGGTTAAAAGTCCTTAGAGCCAGTGCATTCGTACGGCATAGTAAAATATAACTTCTAAATAAATATCTTTATTTAAAATCAGGCACGCTGTACAGTTTTCCATAATTTTTACATTAGTGAAAATATTTGGAAAATTAATATTTTTTATTCTTTCCAGAATCGTTATTTTTGTACGGCATAAGGTTTTTATGTCTTATTTTTCTAATATCTGGCCCAAAATTGGAAAGTTTGATTTTCCGCTGATAACCCATGTGCCACGGAGAATTGACGGCATAGTGCTCAAATAATGTTTTCTTTTAGGTTTATCTTTTTAACTTGGTAGTTAATAAAATTAATATTTCTTTTACAACATCTAAAAACACAGTAAGATCATTATTACGAACATTAAATTTTAAGTCAACCTTAGATATTCTACAATCTTCTTCGGAGACCACAGGAAAAATTGTTAAAAGCTGAAGCCACTATAACAGAGTCGTCACATATTTTACAAGCAGTTATTAACTAAAGGACATCGAAATACACCCTAATTACATAAATTTAATTTTATTTGGACATTTCCTTAATAACATTTTAACTATCGGTTAAACTTTGCTAAATTGAATTTTATAATTAAAAAGCAGTTAAATCAATGTATTAGTATTGTCAAAGTGTTACCTACAATTACATTTGATTTACGTCATCAGTGGGATGAGTTTCTGCATTGGTATGAAGATGGCGTAAAAACCGGGATCTATACATTGAAAATTTAATTTAAAACCGATATCAGAAAGACGTCAGTATAGAGAATAATAATTACGCACCAATCGTGACTTAACTTGTTAATTAAATAATATGTAACGATAACATACAAAACGTGACTTATTTCCGGAATTCATGATTAATATGTAAGCCATAATGTAGACTGTGGTGATGAAGACTTATAAGATATCAGAACCATTGCGGATATCTACTTTTGTTTTCAATGGACTTGTCTGATATCAAAATTGGTAAAAATTCAGAATTAGAAACTTTACATTTACATTGACAGTTTTGTCATTTTGTTCAGTTAGAAACACCAATAACAATCGATAGCAGGGTCTAGTGGATTTAATTGTAACGAAACGCCAATATCTCACTCTTTTGAAGAATTGTAAGCTAGATTTGTTATGTCTATCGAAGCAGAATTGATTCTGTGTTTATCTTTATAGTTGGAAGAAATACCTGGATACATATATTTAGTACATATTTTCTAACAAAAGATGACGCAAATATTTTATGCAAACCTTTAAAAACTTTATTTACATTAAACATATTGTTTTATACATTTTAACAACTGTTCATGGAAACAGTCTATTTGCTTGCAGCATTTGCTATAATGAAAATATAATTAATTGGAACAGTCTATTGATCTGCTGAAAAACAAATTGCTCTTGGACTTCTAAAAGTTCTTGCGTAACTACAACTTATAAGGACTATAGTATATGCATCAATTTAAATCTGTGGTCGTCGCTTCTGAAAATTCAAAGTATAAATAATATTTTGACAATACTGAATACATTTCTTTGTTCAATGATGTTCCCAGTTACACATAAACCCATATAATTAGTATACTATAAACAATATAGAAAAAATTGAGAGCGCTAAGTTCACTCATAAGTGTGATAAATATTTTGTTCATAACTGGTTATAGATAAAATGACTTTAGCCTTTTGGCTTTAAAGCTAATAAAAGAAACTGTAGTACTCACCTGTTTTGGATTCCACTAGTTCATTGTAATTTTCTATTACTACACTCATTAACGACGGCATCCTAATCTGAAAACGATAAAAAATAATAATGTAGGCAAGCAAGTTGTTCATTAGTTTTTTCATTATAGATATCAACATAGTGGTTAAAAAATAAGCGAAATAATTATTCTTGCGCTTGTCTTACAAACGATATTGTGAAAGGCCCCTTTACCTTTAGAGGTAAAAAAGGTTTTACAGGGTGTTTTTTAAATCTGAAGCATAACTGCAATAATTTCTCTTTGGTTTATTATAGACCAAAAAGTCTTGATATACCAATGGCCGAATGACTGGTAAATTGCAGGGAACGACTACTCATCAGGACAACTAGTTGGTCTAATACACCAAATATACAGTTGAGCCGTTGGATCTTTACGTTCACGTCATCAAGCATGATCGTATGAACTACAATTTCAAACGAGTTTTGATCAGTGGTCGTGTTCATGAATTACTATTCATTTAAGAAATAGTGCGATAATAGACACATGCTTTGTGATTTTTTGCATCATAACAACAGTTTAAAATCCACAAAAACCAAACAAGTCTCGATTTACTGAAACAGCCACAAAACTCACAGAAAATTCATCTGTGACAACAAGGACGTAGGAAACGATGCTAGTCAAATACATGTCTACATTTTAAGAACACAACAAACGATAATATGTCTATCCCTTTCTCATTCATCAGGGACAAATAATAAACTCTGTTGGAACTAGCGTCAATTGCACAACATATGAAGGCGATTGCTTGTATTTTTCTATCATTAGTTGAATCACGTTGATCAATAACGGAACATTTGCTTTTATTTATTGATGTATGTTGATGATGTGAACGGATTAACTGTATACCCGTTTCGGACTTATCAGTCCTAATCAGATTATAGGTGAGGCAATGAATGATCCAGTCGTTTTACATCTCAACTTCACACATGAAGTGAGTATAGGCGAGATGTGGTAGGTTACTACTCCTATGAATTGTCATCGCTAGGCACCAAATATGGCCACACGCCTGTTATTTTGAAGGTACTATGCCAGTGTGGCCATACTAAAGGCCTAGCCACTGACTACCTACAAGTCATAGATGTAGCACTCTGCTGCATCTTTATTCACAGAATTATGAAGTTTGGAAAAATAAATAAATTCAAATATACAGGCAACATTTACTGAATTGGTACAAAAATGTGTCATTCGTGGTGAAAATATTGGAAGGCAATGTCAATATTCGACGCAACTTTAAAATTGGATAATACATATTAATTCCTGAGGTAGTTTCTAAGAAAGAGGTTTATTCCACCCAACTCGAAAACAAGTAATTTTTGAGTTATTATTTAAATTTAAAATGATATACAGGGTGTTAGTAAATAGGTGCGACAAATTTCAGGGGCTGATTCTACATGAGAAAATAACGGCAGTTTGCTTACAAACGTATGTCCGCAAATGATTCGTTTTCCGAGATACGGGGTGTCAAAGTTTTTCTTAAAAACTGACGATTTAATTTATTGCTCTGAAACCGGTCGAGATGTGCAAATGAAATTTGGTGGGTTTTAAGAGGTAGTTATTGCGCATTTTTTGACACGCAATTAAGAATTTTATGTTCATCATTGGCGCGCGTACGGGTAATAATCTCAATTTTTTTAAAGAAAAAAATGGTACGCCACTGAGATATTACAAATTAAAAATCATTTTTGAATTCCTCGTTCAATTTGTGACAAAAAATCTCTCTTGCCTTTTCTTCGTATGGGGCGCCGTTTTGATGCAAAAAAATAAAACATCTTAACGCGTATTTTTTATTTCTTTAATACATTATCAAGAACTATCTAATACAATAACATTAAACCAGAACAATAACAGAAAATAACACTAATAAAATTTTGAAAAGGCGCAAAGCTACAACAAATGTTCAAAATGACCTCCCTCAGACGTGACACAAGATTCAACTCTTCGCCTCATTGATTGTCGTATTCGCGCAAATATTCCTGGTATATTTCTTATTGTCTCACAGCCGACTATAATTCGATTCCTCAGGTCATCAACATTTTCAACGGGAGTGGAATAAACTAATGACTTAAGAAAACCCCAAATGCAAAAATCAAGAGGATTTAAATCCGGCGATCGAGCAGGCCAATGTTCCGTACCTCCCCTACCTATCCAACGATTTGGATATACTGTGTCTAAGTGATTACGTACATTAATGCTAAAATGGGCTGGTGCACCATCATGCATGTACCATAGGTGTTGTCTCAGCTGTAGAGGAATTTCTTCAAGAAGAACAGGTAACTCTTCCTGTAGGAAATTAAGATAAGATTCGCCTGTTAGTCGTTGTGGGAGGAAATATGGACCGATTAAATGATCATCAATTACCCCAAGCCATACATTTACGGAAAACTGATGCTGAAAATGAGCTTCAAAGATTCCATGGGGGTTTTCCTCAGCCCATAAGTGATTGTTATGGAAATTTCGTATACACTGTCGTCCAAAAGTAGCCTCGTCAGTAAACAAAACGGCATTTAAAAAATTAGGAATTTGAGCGATTTGATGATTAATCCATTGGCAAAAAAATAGGCGCGGAAAAAAGTCTCTAGGTAGTAGAGCTTGCACACGTTCAATATGAAACGGATACAATTGCTGTTCTTTAAGAATTTTAAATACAGTGAAGTTGCTTACATTCAATATGTTGGCAATTTTTCGAGTACTTGTTTCAGGTGACTCCGCAATTAACTCGAGAACTGCTTCTTCTAGTTGCACAGTTCGTACTTCTCGAGGGCGCCCACAGTCAACCGTTTGTTTCTTAAATGAACCATTTTCGCGCAAACGTTGATGAAGACGAGCAAATATTGTGTGATGAGGTACCCTACGTCCTGGATACAACTCAGCATACAATCGTCGAGCTTGCCGACCATTTCCATTACTTCGACCATAGACAAAATGCATGTCTGACAATTCCGCATTTGTAAAATTTTCCATTCTTTTCGATAAAAGAAAAATTAATTACTTATTAACACTAATGTTATAGCAAACTAAAAGCTTAATAAATTAATAATGACGAAACGCTAATTTGACATTTCTTAAAAATATTCGTATTTAACAGACAAATGTTGACAGTAGCCTACTAGGTAATGTATTAAAGAAATAAAAAATACGCGTTAAGATGTTTTATTTTTTTGCATCAAAACGGCGCCCCATACGAAGAAAAGGCAAGAGAGATTTTTTGTCACAAATTGAACGAGGAATTCAAAAATTATTTTCAAATTTTAATTTGTAATATCTCAGTGGCGTACCATTTTTTTCTTTAAAAAAATTGAGATTATTCTTAATTGCGTGTCAAAAAAGGCGCAATAACTACCTATTAAAACGCACCAAATTTCATTTGCACATCTCGACCGGTTTCAGAGCAATAAATTAAATCGTCAGTTTTTAAGAAAAACTTTGACACCCCGTATCTCGGAAAACGAATCATTTGCGGACATACGTTTATAAGCAAACTGCCATTATTTTCTCATGTAGAATCACCCCCTGAAATTTGTCGCAATTATTTACTAACACCCTGTATATGTACATATCGTATATTTGCTTTTACAGTGTGCACAATATTTAGATTTATTTATTAAGCAGATAAGGTGAAGATTGCCGTGGAACTAATACCTATTTGGTTTTCAACTATTAAATTTAATAAACATATCAGTACATATTTTACGAAGGAAGAAAATACACTATAAAACGTCTTTTATATTGACCCTATAGTGTTATAGAAAATTGCATATTTTTAAATACATTTTTAAGAAAGAATAATGTTATGATCCGCGAGAAATCCCAATTTAACCTCAAAGCTGTTTTATTCTATGTAATAATTCATATGACCTAAGTACTGTCAGTGTCTGAAATATATGTCTTTTATCTAGGACATGGTTAAGGTATTATAAAAAACCTTTTGTAATAATATATTTTTTTATTAGAAAACTTTTGAAAAATTTGTTTAGCAAAGGTCATTAAGGGCGGTTTCGCTCCAATTAATCGGTAAAAATAAAAAATGCATGACTGTTATAGCTTGGGGTCAGACAAATGCAATTCAATCGATTTTGGACCAAACGGACCACGCCTAACCTTCCACTGCCCTACATATCCCCCAATAACCGACCACACATCCAACTATTATGATACGTAGTAATGGTAGAAAAATGACTTTTTACATTTCCCTTCCTAGAGCCAGATAAGCAATATCCACTTGTTTTGGGCTAAACGGATCCAACCCACCATCTCCAACTATTATGACAAGCAGTGATGTCAGAAAAATGACAATCTCTAGACCAGGCAAGAAATATTCAGTTGATTTTAGGCCAAAATTTCCCTGTCCGAGCTTCAGTTTGCATTTGCCTGACGGAGCTTCAGCTTCGCTTTACCAGCTAGAGCTTCTGTTAGAGTTTGAGCTTCCATGTCTTAGCCTCAGTTAGAGTTTTCCTGTCAGAGGTTCAGTGTGAGTTTCCTCTAGCAGTCCATTATTCAGATTGAGCTTGCCTGTCCGAGCCCTAGTTTGTGTTTATCTGAGCTTCAGTTTGAGTTTTCTGGCATTCCTGCCTGTTACAATAGTAGGACGTGATTAGAATTATGGAGATGGGTATGGCAACAAGGGCGTTAGATCCGTTTGGCCCAAAATACTGCTTATCTAGCCCTAGAGATGTATAAAAAGACATTTTTCTGCCATTACTACCTTTCATAGTAGTTGAATGTGGATCGGTTATCGGGGGGTATGTAGGGTAATGGATGGTGGGCGGTGGATTAGTTTGGGCTAAAATCGATTGGATTTTGTTTGTCTGGCCCCAAGCTATAAAAATCATGCTTGTTTTTTATTTTTCCAATTGGTCCAAAAATTGCGCCTAATGACCCTTTTCCTTTAGGAGAAGAAAACATATCCACGCACTGATTCCCCCTTTCATGTGCAAAATCAGTAAATAATCTAACATCAACACTATAACTATAAAACCAATATATCATCCCGTGATCATCATTGTAAGCAAGAGGGGAATCCAAAAATAG